CCTAAACCCTAAACCGTGGAGCATTTCCAGCGCGTCAGCCCGCAACAGACAGCAGTTTGAGCTTTCAGAACACGTCCTTGGCCTTCCATGTGCACAGAACAACTTGGAGGTTCATGGGCAGTTGTAAGTGGAATCATGATAAGTCTCCTAATACAACCTATAACTATAGTTATCCTACTTATACACCCACTTATAACTACCGATGAACCTCCAAGAAGGATCTCTATACCGGAAAACCCTCGACCTTCAATCCCAGCCTGCTGGAGCTTGGGGAGTTCCTTGGTAGTATTAGGGAGACCCCTTAAAGAGGACCCTTCTTGACCCTACTTATGGCCCTTCAAAGGTACCTTATTGAGAGGGTCTCCCCCTAATCCTAACTTCTCGGAGCGTCCAATTCCAGCAATTTGTCCTACTCTGCACTTCACGGTGGAGCAAAGATTGTACATGTCAGTTGCTCCAAGCGTGAATACCTTTAGTTTCATTGAGGATTCTTCATGTGCGTCAACCTCTGGAAGAAGGGTGCACGGAACAATGATCTACGGTTGCTGGGTTTGGCTGCTTCCGCGACGCCCTCATTCCTGATGATGTCCAACTCTAATTTTCTTTGTATTGTCCCCGGTATATTCCCATTATGTAATACAGCAATCGAGGTCTTATAGCGGACTCTAAGGCCTTATCCCCCAAAAGGCTCATCAGAGCAGGTTTGAAGCTCTTGAGCAACGAATGCAGTAGACTCAGACGTTCGTAGTAAAAAAAAGGTTTTCTCAGACCCGTCTGTATGTGTTTTAAAGTGTGTTGTATACTGTATGCTCAAGCTCCCATCCTTAGTGCTTGGATGAGGGACCGTCTGTGAACATGGTTATGGTTTCAGAGCTTTGCTTGCCGGCCTTTTTGGTCCTCAAGATATGTGGGATGGTTGCACGCAGCGCTCGCAGGAGCAAGGCTATGCTGGGCTTCGCCTTGCTGATAGGTGTCGTTGCGTGGAACCACGACTTGGTGCAAGGCTTCAGCCATACACGGCCCCACAATGTGCCCTTCAACATGCGGGAGCGGATGCTGAAACGGCCCAAAGAATGTTTTAAAGGCCGCACTGGCCGATCAGAGCGAGATCAAGACTTGTATTTCGCCAACTGGCCATTAGGCTTGTCCGGACGATCGTTAAGCGGAAGGAATCCTAAATTTGGACACTGGCGCAAAGTGCTGAAGGATTCACGCACGTCCAAGATGTTGCTGAAGAGGTTGGACACTGCCATAAGCAAAGGTGAGGTAGATGCTAGCGTGATCAGTTCCGCCATGCAAAAGTGCGGTTACAATTGCTGGTGGGAGACGCTGATGGAAGTTGACAAACGTCAGAAACACTGCAAGATACGGCAAGATAGTCTACAGGCACGAATCTTTTTGACTGCGATGGCATCATGCCTCAAACGCAGTACCCTTCCGGATGCTCTTCTGGCAACTCGACGCCACAAGGCTCTCTCACTGGGCAAGTCCGTTTGGGCAGCTATGCCCCCGCCGATGTCTGAGTTTGATTTTAACCCTGCTATCAGTAGTGCATGGAACCTATGCACTGCGGTTGGGCCAGAATCTCTGTCATGGGCGAAAGAGATTGCAGAATGGGCAGACACTGTTCCACATGGCAAGGACATTCTGTCCTACACGAACTTGCTATCAATACTGGAGCAATGCGGCCAGTACGGCGAAGTAGATTCTCATCTGAGAGAGATGTCCCATTCCAGGAGCGTTTCTGCGAACGAGGTGCTTCTCGGCAACTTGATCAACGAAGCAGCTGCTGTGCATAACTGGAAGAGGGCAGACGACATTTGGAAGCTGCTAGTTCACAAACTAAATGTTGAGCCCAACCGCATCGGTTACACGGCATATGCAAAGGTACACCTTCTGTCAGGCAGGCCCGCGACAGCCATACAGGTTTTGGACTCCATGGTTGATGCAGGCTTGGGAGCGTCTGGAAGGACACGAGAGTCGAAACTGTACCTGCAAGCACTGATGCTCCTTTGTCATTCGAGCCCTTCCCGGCCACGACTTTCCGACTTAAAGGCTCTACTGCTCAAGACTCCCTTCTTGAAGAAGCTGCATCGCATCTGCAGGAGGCTGATTGCAATGCCCTCCTCTTTGTCCCTGCATGAGATCCTGTGCGACGTCAGGCGGGAGAGTTTGATGGCTCGGTGGCCTAATTACAAGGCCGGATCTGGGTATCTTCCGAGAGACGTTCCTTATGGGAAACTCTCCAAGAGCTTCTTGCGAAGTGCCGACAGCATAGAAAGTTCAACAGGCAGGCGCCAAGGCGCTCATTTTCTGTAGGTGGTCTCAAGAGGTATCCTGATTTGTGTGCTTGTTGTGATAACTGCACAAGTCGCTGGGCCAGAACATGGTCCAAAGTTCGGGTCTAGGGTTTGGGCTGAGTTTTGGCTGGAGACCCATAGCTTCAGTGTTTATCTCAGAGGTTAGAAGCCACGTGAACCTTTAGAGCGCCCAAAACCAAACCGCAATAACAAGCCCAGCGCCCTGAGCGTACCCATCCCAAACTCCCAAACTCCAAGACCCCAAGACCCCAAACCCCGAACCCCTAATTCCACACGAACCCCCAAAAACACAAGTTCAAAATCCATAGCCCACAGACCTAAAGTCCCAAAAGCCCATAAAACAAAAATCGTAGCCCCGACGCCCTAGACACATGAACCCATAAACCTTCATCCCACCAGCCCCAACCAAGAAACTTACTTGTAACATCTGGCCAGAAAAGGCACTCACCACAAGCAAATGGGGGTTTAGGGTTTAGGGTACACCCCTAACCCTAAAGCTTAAACCGTAACCATAGCCCATACCCTGAAACCCTACCCGACCCTAGGGTAGGCCCTCCCGTGATCGCTAACTCGGGGCGGCGCTTACCGAACGCCGGGGTGGCCGGGTATTCATGAGGCCTTGGCCTGAGCTTTTTCGGGTTATTGCAGGGTTTAGGGTAGGGTTTAGGGGTTCAGGGTGTTCCAGATTAGAGCAATTGGGGCGTTCGGGACTTTGTGCTCGGGGCTTCATCGTTTCAGGATGGTTCAGGGCTTTAGCTTTTTGGCTGATGTTGAGGGCTTTTGGGGGCTTTTCGAGCTTCCCGAACGATCCTTGTATAGTCTATAGTTTACAGCAGATTTCTGAGAGGTTCTGTACGAACATAGGTGTTTTCGGGCTTGGGGTTGAGGGTATAGGCATCAGCGCCATAGAACTGATCCCGACATCCGAGTCCAATTCCTGAGGTCCTACCTTGCACTCAGGTTTCCCAGTGGTACCCGAAGAAAGGCCCACTTGGAGGTTCATGGGCGGTTAGAAGTGGAAGTATAAGTCCCTGAATACAAGTTATAACAATAGTTATCCCCCTAAGCCCCACACCTTTAGTATAGGTTATAACTATAGTTCTCCTA